GTATAACATAATATTGTACTTTTTTTTTATTATATAATATATAAATATATATATTTATTTTTATAAAATAATATATATTTATATAAAATAATATAATATATTATACATTGTATATATTTTTATTATATAATATTATAAATAAAATATAATATATAATAAAATATGTTATATATTATACAATAAATTATATTGTATATTATACAATTAAATATATACATTTTATATAGTGGGGGGGGGGGGTTGTTCATAAAAAAATAGTTCCAAATTTAAAGCAAGATTAGAACTTGAACAGTTCCTTGAAGTTTTGTTTGAAGTTAAATTTTTTACCAAACACGAAACTTGAACAGTATTAAGAAGTTCTAAACTTCCAGAAAGACACTTGCTGTTATCAAACACGCCCTTTGAGAATGGAATACCAAGACTTGAATAGGGTTGAAAGATTTCGGAGCATCCATGTGCTCCTATCTAGATTATAAGACTGCCTCTTTGAGGTCTTCTTTCTCAATGATCCTGGGAGTATACATTCCTGGTGCATGATTTGGGGTAGTTCTTTGTGCCCTAAGACAGGCCACTTTGGTTCGATGATGATGGCCCGCTTTGGGGAAAATGAGATTCTGATTCTGGTACATTTTAGAGTTTCTTCCTTACAGGATACTAACTTTAGTGTTGCAGGTTTAGGGTTTTGGTTCTAGAGGGTCTCTCGTTTTCCCTCATATATATGTCTGATGAGTTACTACTGTTAGAGATGGTTTGTTGGATAACATTAGCATAGGTCCAACTAGCTGGAATTTGTTTGTTAATCGAACTTTTCAGCCAGTAGCTGTTGCAGGTGGAATTCAGGGAAATGCACTTTATGTTAAAATTTTTAAAGTGTATTTTCTAGAAATTATGGTAGCTTTTATTTTATTTTATTTTATTTGGAGTGATGTAGTGAGTGTTACTTGTAATCTTGTGTAATGGGAAATTGTAGAACTAATAGGTGGTTGGTAGTTTTTTTTATTTTTTTGTTTTTTAAAAATAGGTATTTATTGCTGTAAAAAATAGTTGTTGTAAATGGGTAGTTTAATTTAGTTGTAGGAACCTCTATTTCAAAAAGAAGTGTGTGGTGGGAAATGTGGTTATCTTGTGTGTCAAGTGTAACACCTTATTGTACACCATTTTCAGTTTTTTGAATTGAAGTTTTTCTTCCATCTCATCTCGGTGCTTCTTCTTCTTCTTTCTATTTGCTTGTGAGTCTTAGGCTAGTGTAATATTGTTACACTAATTGAGAAGCCGATATTTCTGGGATTGTGGAATCCGTCATTCTCTACATGGTATTAGAGCCACAAGGGTGGTGGTTATGTGGTCTTGACTCCCTTGGTGAAGAAGACTGATTTTTTTCTTAAGATGAATTCGGGTGGAAGGATGAATGGTTTTAGCATTGAGTTGCTCAACCAATCAAACTATAAGATATGGAGGTCATGTATGGAGTCTTACCTTGTTGGTGAAGACTTATGGGAAGTGGTTGGTGG